TTTCTCTGACAGTATACAATTGCGCTGATATTTGTCAGTGTCTTCAGGATTTCTGTCAATGCCTCTGCAGTGCAAGCTCTGTAAGTGTTTGTGCGGTGACTGTTGATAGAATTATTGATGATGTCGTGCCACACCACCACTTGACGTTTTTCTGCTAGAGGTGCTCTGCAGAGTAGGCTTGCGAGGTTCTTCTGTGGGTTCGTGGTGTTCGGGCTTAAAGAAAGTCCCGGAATAGCCAAAATTTTGGGCAGAAATTGTTCTTTTTCGGTGTTGCTAAGTTGTTCCAGGCTGTGGTAGAGGGAGTTGTAGACCATTTCAATTCTAACATGGTAAAATATAAAAAGATTTTTCCTCTAAAAAGATTTCTCCACTAAAACAAGGGAAAATTTTTTTAAATAACGTCTCCTTGTAGGAGAGACTGTCATTGAGAATTGGCTCAACGCCGTAGGGTTTCAAAATTTTACATCTAAATATTTCTCAATTTTAGGGCCAATTGAGCTGGTATGTATTATAAACTTCATATAATTAAATGCGACGACCTTTTTTTCATCATTGATTGTCATAGCTAAACATCACATGTGTATAAGGTTCAATATTCAATAAGTTGTCATCATCTTTCTTAAGCCACGTTTCAGACATCCCCAGAACTGTATTTTCACCCATGACTTTAAGAAATTTTCTTAACCTGCATGCGCTTTCGAATGACACTTAACAGACCGATTCAATTGTTTCCATGGGACCAGGACTTTTTTTGTAGGCGCTCACTTTGCGTAAATAGCAGGGCAAAAAATATGAAGATGGGGTTTAGTGGAATTGATATCCGCTCAACCTTTTTCAGTTTTGCTGAAAATTTGCTTAACCTTTATCACTTTTGCTGTCAACTGAACTATTATGATTATTATGATTATTATTATGGATTCAGCTATTAGAGCTTGGGTGTTTCCACCCTTAAGTTTCAGCGTCATGCAAGTTTCCATGTCGAAATATCGTTGTATCTATAGTTTGTCATGAAGTAATTCCAGAAGTGCTTCAGTAGTCGTGGTTTGAGTCCCTGATGGTTGGAGTAGTCGATTGAATTTGGTAAGATGTTCACAAGTTTGCAGGTTCTGAGCCAAAACTCCTGTTGGTAGATAGATTTCTTTATTTTCGGCAGTTCGAAAAAAGGTTTCTCTGATAACCGGGTGGCTCTATCGAATTCCTTTAAACGAAAATACTCTGTGGCATCAATTTTATAGAAACCATTCAACATCTTGGACATAAATAGTAGATCCAATAATTGCATATACAGGGTCAGCGGTAAAATGTTGCATTGCATCAGATTTGTTACGTAGTCGTTCCGGCCATTTACCCATGTCAGTGCTTTCTCTTGCACTTTTTCGATCAATCTAAGCATTTTAATGCTTGCTGCCCAGCAACTTGACCCATATAACAGCACTTGTAAAATCATCGATTTAAATATATTAAGTTTCACTCGCATTGGTAGTCCCTTTGGAGTGTTTCGTTTCAGCATAAAAAAGGTCTTAAGGGCTTTGGATATATTATTGCTTATAGTTTCATTCCATTTCATAATCCGCGAGACTAATAACCCAAGATCTTTCTGTACTTCAACTTCCGGTATTGCAATATTATTGAAAGTCATTTGGTTGCATTCACCTGTAAAGCTCATGTAAGAGCATTTACCAACATGCAGCGTTTGTTTGTGAGATGAACTCCATTTGAACACTCTGTCTAGATCAGTTTGAAAAATGTTGCTCTGTTGATTGATGTTAATGAATTTGACATCATCGGCGCATATGAGAGGTGTAGAGAATTTACATTGCGATGGTATGTCATTTATGTAGATAAGAAATAAGATGCTTGCTAATATTGAGCCTTGTGGCACACCACTGTTTAATAATTTTTCTGTGGATAATTGATTTTCTACCCTTATTTTGTGGGTACGTTTGGTAAGATACGAGCGGAGTAGTTTGAGCAATTTCCCACTTATACCGATATCTTGAATTTTGCGCAGCAATAATTGATGGTCTACTCTGTCAAATGCCTTTTCGTAATCTGTGTACACAACTTCTACAGATTTTCCATCATTGATTGCTTTATAGACCTTGTTCAGATAAACAATCATTTGAACTAAACATGATCGTCCTTTGCGGAAACCGTATTGCTGATTGGAGATGAGCGGCTCGAAAAATTCGTAGATGTCGAGGAACATACATCGCTCAAGAATTTTAGATACGATTGCAAGTAACGAAACCGGTCTGTAGTTTTCCACCATATATTTACACGATTTCTTATGAGTCGGGTTAACGATCGCGCATTTCCAATAGCTGGGGAAAATGCAGGTTTGTTTGATCTTATAGAAAAGAACATTTAGTGATTTAGCGATGTTTTTTGAGCAGTTCTTATAAAGAATTGCGGGTATTTTATCTGGGCCACTTGCTTTTGTACAGTCCAGAGTTCTGCAGATGTTTTGTATGCGTTGCTCCGAGATATCAAAATCATATAATTTCGTGGTTGATAAGTTTTGAGGCTCACCAAGACTTGGAGGATCGGAGGGTTTTGAGAAATTATCGTCAAAGAAATCGGCAAAAAGTTCCACTTTTTCGGCATTTGATTGAGCTTCTTTGCTACCATAAATAAGTTTTGATGGTATTCTGGACGACTTAAATGTACGGTAAAATTTGAAAAGCTTATCAGTTGATCTAGAATCAGATAGCTCTGATTCAAAGTTAATTTGGTCTTGTTCAACGGCAAAATCGCATTCTTTTTGTAGAGATAAAACACGGTTGTGCAGAGCTGGGTACTTTTTCTTAGCGGTGTTCAATTTCATGATGATATTGGATGTGGATTGGGTAATCCATGGCGCGAGTCTGGCTCGATGCCTTGTTCGAGTAGGGACATGGCGTTCGATTTTGATGTTCAACCATTTATACCAGTCCGACAATAACACATCAGGGTTAGACCAACAGAAGCCTTGAAAAGGGTTGTCTATTATATCCGCATTTAAGGCTTTAAAATCGGCTTTACAGTAGCTGAACATTTTCGACTCATTGTGGTATGATCGGAAAACATTGTTTACTTTTCGAATTTCAAACTTTGCTGTAATTGGAAAATGGTTTGACATGCTTGAAATGGATAAGGGTTTGACTTTCGTTGAGACGAGATTCAGTTCACCTTTTGAGAATAAGAGATCTAAAGTACCCGTAGCAGCTGTTGGGAAATCTATATGTTGTTCTAGTTCAAGGTGATCAACTACATCAAGGAAACTCTGAGATTCGCACTTTTCGCTACTTCTGATGTTCCAGTCGATATCCAAGTTGAAATCGCCGTAGATTATTGTTGCATCAACCTGTGACATCAATGTTTCAATTTCTTTAAAAATTAATTTGATCATTTCATCGTTAAGGTGATAGTGGCTGGTTTGCGGTGGATTGTAGAAGCTAACAATTAATATTTTTCTGTTCTGAAAATTTACTATGCACCCTACAGCAGTACCTTGGCTTTCTTCAGGTAGTGATATTTTTTGACAATGAAATGAGTGCATAATTCCAATCATAACGCCTCCGTGTTTTGTCTGACCTTTAGGAGCTTTTCTATCAGATCTAAATAGTTGATAAGACGGCAGAAAAAGTTCGCTATCTTCCTGTTCATCGGTAAGCCAAGTTTCTGATATTAGAATAATGTTGTAGTTCTGCGAGGCAAGAAATGATGAAAGCTCCACTCTACGCTGAAGAAGGTATATACTTCTGATATTGAAACATAATACATCTAAATCTTCCGTAGTACACTTGATAGTCAATCAATTTTGGTTTCGTGTCCATTGACATATAATTTCAGTCCTATTATGCGTATATCTTTTGTGGTTGTTCCGTCGTTAATCAATTCTCTTCTTTTCATCAATACTTTATTTTCTATTTCTTGTTCCTCTTTATTCAAACTTTTAGATATAAACACTTTTGTTGCTCCCTCGAAGGTTTTCAGCTGCTTTGCTTTCGCTAGAAGTTTTCTCGCAGTCCAGGTATTGTTCAGTCGCAGTAAAATAGTACGAGGGCGTTTTTTGTCTTTGTCAAATTTTCCCAGACGTTTTAAGTCGGCGATACAGTTTGTTTCTTCCCCTAGGTGGTTAAGCACTTTTTCAATTTCATACGAATCATGAGACAAAATTTCGTCTTGAGTTGCAATTATATCTTTGCCGTTATTTCATCGGCATTTAGAGTAGTCATTTAGAGTAGTTTATTGTAAAAATCCTGACGATGCACATAGTTGCGAAAACGTTTGAAATTTACTTTTTAGCAAAAATTTCTTATATCTTTGCCATTTGCGTCTTTCTTCCGTGTATATTCCTTTATTCCATTTACTCTAATTTCTAAATTATTTTCGTTGGGTGCTGGCGGGGTTGGGTTGGAAGTTATTAGTGACGTAGAATTATACTTAGCTTTATTGAGATCCTCCTTCAGTTCTGATATGGTTGCCTTAATGATTCCAACGGCCTCATCCATGGACTCGTTTCTGGCCATCAGTTGTTTTACGGGGTTAAGACAATGGTCACAAAACCATTTGATTCCTTTCACAACATCGAATAGGTTGAGGGCCTCCAGCGGGACATCAGTACATTTTTGGTGTAGCCAATTGTCGCATTTGTCGCATTGGATTGCTTGTTCCTCTTTGTCCTTGATTTTTCTGCTGCAGGACCCGCACATTGAATTACTTGCACTTGCAAGACGCTTGTTGCGTGCCTTCTTGTTGCGTGCGCTTATTGTAGTAACTTCGGTGACTATGTGATAAAGGACTAGTGTGGTAACTTTGGTGACTATGCTGATTTCTTACCTTCTGATTTACAAAAATCTGAGATACACTTGTAAATTTGAAAATAGTTTAAAAAAAACATTTGCCAGTTGAAAGTGTCAGCAAATTTTTATTGTAGTTATTGTCAAAACACCAACAGTTAAGAATACAAATCCTTAGACTTTTAATTGATGGTATCGATTGCAATTTATTTAATTTTCAGGTATTATGTAGAGCTCGTTTGCTATCCTAATTATGTCGACGGATAGCGTGGATCACAGTATCGAGCCCGGAAAAGCTGAAACACATAATGCTACAGAAGCATCTGTTCTCGGCTTTGATGGTTCAACTTTTCTACAGACTTGGACAGCAGAAGTCATCACTGGCGTTTTTGTGATACTGGCAGTTTGTGTGACTGCATGTCAGGTGAGTGAAATGAGATGAACTCCATTTAAAAAAATTTCAAAGGATTATCAAAAGGTGATTATATTTTTAGCACAATGAGTTTTTCCTGCAATGATTAATGAATGTTCACACTAGCGTCGTCCTAGTGTGTTATTACGAACCTTCTTTTTTTTCTAACCTAACTTGCAAATAAAGTGCTCGTATTTAGAATTTTCATTGTAGCGAATTTTCATATTTATACTTTTTTTGTTATTGTACTTTTTAAAGCTGCTCTTTGTCGTGTTTTCGCTTGTGTTTGCGAAGCTTCACCTCTGTGTAAGATACATACAACTCATGGTTGGCTTTTCTTCCGTAGTCAGTATTCTTACGTGCTAATACAAAAATTTACTTATTATAAAATATACGTATTATAAAAACGTGAAATCTATTGGCCCTTCCGTCAAGCGACCAGGGCAGGTCAAAAGTTAATCGGACAACAAAAATAAATCTATCTATCTATTATATATTTAAATGCGGGCTTCACTATCTCGCCATGTTCAATTTTTTCAACTTATTATTTTAGCATGTTCAACGATAGGATATTTTCACGGTTACGCTATATCGTTTATTGCAATGGCTAGGAATTTTTTTTTCGATTTTCCAGTTTGATTTCTGATTGTTTCACCAAGTTCGAAATTAGAAACCCAATAGTGGGATGCTGTCAGAGTTGCCACAGGGTTGCAAGTTTGGTCTCCAATTTTGAACGCGCTTTCAGAACATTCTTTTAGTTTACGAGATTCAACGATTTTTTGATTTCACAAAATTTTAAAGAAAACTTTCATTCAAAACTTTTGCATTTGCGATGAGCTTAGTGTGTTATTACGAACCTTCTTTTTTTTACCTAGCTCGCAAATGAAAGTGTTCAGTAAAAGTGTTCACTTATTTGGAAATTTCACCGTAGCATTGGAAATTGCATAGCATCTGTGCTCATTTTTATTGTGGCTAGTGTTTAGCGTATAGTTAGCTTCCGTGGCTGAGTGGTTAGTGTGTGAGACTCTAAATCTCTAGGTCGCAGGTTCGAATTTCTAAATTAACTGATTTTTTGCTAATTCGGGGCTTTTTTCTTTTTCATTATTGAACTTTATAGAGCTGCTTTTTGTCGTTTTCTCGCAAGTGTTTGCGAGGCGAAGCTTTGCCTCTGTGTAAAATAAAGGCAAACTCCACTGTGTCACATTCAATTTTGAAATCCCTAACCCTGAAGTTGGATGCTGTCAGGGTATTCTCAGGAGTTGCAAATTTTGCCTCCAAAAATGAATGCTCAAATCCTATTTGTTTCCGAGATAAGACCTTTTTGAATTTTCAAAATTCTTAACTCTATGCTATGAGATGCTGTCAGGGAACTCTAGGGAGGTAAAATTCTTGCCTCCAAGTTTGGCTGCTTAATCTTTTTACTTTACGAGATAAGACGTTTCCTTATTTTTTTCAATAAATTTCAAAGAATTAAGATAGAAAAATTGGACAAACGTTGAAATTTTCAACCTTATATTTGGGTTCTTTCTGGATTTTTTCAGGTGTTGTAAACCTTGCATCTAACTATGACCTTTAAATTTCTGAGATATGGCCTTTTTTAATGATTTTTAAAAAAATTTCAACGAACTTAGATATGAAAAACTTAACATTATCCCAACTATGAGGTGATATTTTTGGATATGGCGTTTTTGTATTTTTTGAAAACTTTCAAAAGTTTTAAATTTCAATTCAAATGTTGATTTTAGTGCTCAAATTAATTGTTCTAATTTGGCTTCTGTATGGTTTTTAAAGTTTTTTCATTAAATTTACCACTAAAAAAGAAAAACGAGTCTAATGTTTTAAAATTAATGACGCTGAATTCCATTTATAGTTTTGTTGATTTTGCAATTGAAACTGTTTCATTTTTTTTCAAATATGCAGTGTGCAGTTTAGGGTTTATGAGTTATAAATACGAAGATCCGAAACTCAGTAGTTTTGAACATTTAACCATTTCAGTTGAAGTTGAGTTTTTTTATCGTTCAAATTTAGAAATCAAAACTGTTGCTGGATTCCCCCGTTTATTGCCTTGGTTGTAATCATTGCAATTTTCACGTTCACTACTGTTTGAAGCAACAACAATAAATCTATCTGTCTATCTATTATATATTTAATTGCGGGCTTCACTAACTCGTCATGTTTAAGCTTCTTTAACCTATTATTCTGGCATGTTTAACGGAAGAGTTTTTTCACGTTTAAGCTATAACGTATTTTGCATTGCTTAAGATTTTTTTCAGTTTTCGAGCTTGAAATCAGTGTTTATTTCATTCTGTTTGAAATAAGCCTTCCAAAAATGTGTAATGTAGTGCTGCACACCTAGGTTACATATTCAGTAGTAGTTTTGAACCTTTTTTCACGCACGATGGAATTATTTTACTATCAGAGGGCCGCCAGGCTCGAGAATAGTGAATTAATTTCCCAATTTCTTGAAAAAATTATTGCCAAAATTCTTTAGTCAAAGAAAAGTGTTTGTGTTCATGCTTGTGTTTCAATTGTTTTTCACATTCTAAAATACTTTTCTCACTTAAAAACATATTTTCAAACTACCTCAACAGCGCATTTGCAATCGTGCATGAAAAACATTCTTTCACGCCGATTGAACGCACGCTGCAGATTAACTAGTTTTGTTAAAACATTTTTCATGTTCTGTTCTTTTCATGAACTGCGCATGATCGCATGCAAATTGACTAATTGTTAATTACCATATGAGGATAAATTAAAGGTCAAATAAATTAAATTTCAATGTTAAATTAGATGAATGCCAAAGTGTTAAATTATGTTTGCTTAATGTAAACAATAGAGGCGAGAAATTCAGTAAAACCTAGTGACCACTGAAATTAACAAACTCGGATTAACAAGGTAAACTGAATCACTAATATTACTTTTTTAACGACAAGCTCAGACTCTAGAGAAGATAGTCAACCTCACAAAGCGCATCCCTGACCGCACATTCACATGTTTCTCAATACATAATCCAAAACACAAAATGCTCCTTAACTACTTATCAAAAGTAGCCAGAGATTGTCTATTACATGGTGACTATGAGTGGGCGATGTTTCTTACTTTTCTCGACGAGCTGAAGATGACTGAAAAGTGAGTGTACTCAACGCCCAAAAAGCAAAACGACTTCGACTAACGCAGAGACACTAAAACAAGATCACTGCAGTAACTTGCTCAAAAAGCAGAAAAGAGGAGTTAAAGCTTAAAAACTGATCAGAGCCAATGAAAGAAGACAGCAGTATGAACAAGAGGAAGCTACAACTTGAAAACTGATGGATTACAGGCAGTGAACAAAGACAGCAGTGTGAACTAGAAGAAGCGTGGTTGACGGGTGCTGACAAATGCTACATTTGCTACACTTCGCCAGGATGTTCGTCTCTGAGCAAATGCAGCAAAATCAACGACAGCACCCGATGCTTATGCAAACCCCGCAGAATGCAATCTTCGACCAACAGCCTACAAAAAATATGACCCAGCGAGCGAATAACAAAAGCCTAAGGGATCTTTCGCCCAACTGCCCGCGCCGGTGGACAAATCATCTCAATAGAAACTGAAATTACAGTTGAATTCAGGATGACCGATATGACTTTGATGGAAACGTTTCTCGTACTTAACGCAGTGAACTCACTTATCCTTGGTAACTCTTTGTTTCAAGGAGCACGACATGCAAGGGTGCCCCAAGTATAATCTACTCAAATTACCGGACCTGGCGCTCTAAATCAACGAAGTTTACCCTTGTCCTCTCGAAGCGACAAGTAGTTGCCCCTCTCCCAGTAAAACAGTCGTAATTGAGTGCCTGTCACAAGATATCTCAGCAAACATGGAAAAAAATTTAGGGACAGTTGTCCCATCGAAAGAATTAGAAAAGTGTAAATTTCCGACAACTTCAACAATAAATGAGGTTAACAAAACATTCAACATGACAGAACATTACTTTACAGTGCCTTTCAAAACCGAAATTGGAAAGTTTTCGAATCGGACATTATCCAAATTGGAAGAAGTGATGCCCATTGAGCCGCTCGCGCTATCAAAGAATGAAGCCGCAAGATATTGAATTAAGAATTCATGAATTAATTGATCAAAAGTCAAGCGCGCAAACAGCTTCACAATCGAGACCATCGTCCGAGTTTGAATTTTTGGTTCCCAACGCCGGAAACGTGTCAGAATCCTGATTCCCTTACCATTAATCAACGGGAGATATATGGTCAAATCCTCCATTTTCGTTTTCAAAACTGAGAAAATTGATCCAACAAATCAAATTAAAGATCGATTGACCTTTCTAAACAAATTTTAGTGAGAGAATTTAGTGTTAACGGACGATCAAAGGTCGGAAGTGGAACATTTACTGGTCAAGTACTCGTACATATTTGTCAAATATGGACTTGACATCGGCTCCAACTCAAAATCAAAGATCGAGTTGATACCCGCGCTTGAACGCCCCCATACACAAGGACCACCCACGCCAATACATTTTGGAAAAATATTAATGGTTAAGCTTGCCCTAATGCATTAATTTTGACCAATGACAACCTTGTCGCATTCTAAATACAGTAGTCCGCTGTTTGCACATAGAAAAGCATCAGGTAGATTGTGAAAATTGATCGACTTCAGGCGAATAAACAATTCAATCAAAAGTTATTATTTAAACAGCAATTTTCCAAGTTCAAATATGACCGATGCATCAAACCATTTCGCCGTAAAAAGCTTATTTACAAAGTTAAACTATTCACAAGCATACAATGTGTGCAAATGGCAAATGACCTTTCAGTCCAGCTCCTGGCGTTCAATTTTGGGCCAAGAACGTGTGCATATAAATGCCTTGCTCTAGGGCTAAGTAAATCGGCCACGAGATTTTTTTTTCTTTCAAACGCCACTATCTTGATCCATGCTTAGAGGAAGATTTTTGTAGACAGTTCATGGACAATGTAGGAAGTGCTGTGAACAGCTTTCAAGAATTAATCATTACGCTCGAAAAGATATTCGAATGTGTTAGAAGGTCCTGTCTAACATTTTTGCCAATTAAATGTGAAATAGAACTCAGAGAGTGTCACTTGAGAAAGCCAAGAAAACGCCGTTATTAAATTAGATCAAAGTACCACAAACAGTGAAACAAGAAGAGAGACTGATAGGTTTTGTACAGTTCTTTAGAAACTACATGACGAGCCTGGGCGAGAAGTTGATACCGTTCTCCCGGTCTTAATTCATTTTTTCAGAATTTTATGATAATTTGATTCGCGCTCATAGATAATTTCTCTACGATTACAATTTTTGGTCAGCTTTAGTGAAAGATTTCTGTTCATCGGAAGTGTGATTTCATCTAGTTTAAGAAAAAAAGTGTACCTTCTATTTGTCCGGTAGCAAAAGGTTTTTGTCAAGAAAAATAAATTACTGATCTTTGCATGCTTTGTTTTTTTTAATGATATTCCGTCTCTTTTGGTGTTGCGAAGCTCTTCTTCGCCTCCGTGGCAAAAAAATAGTCTCTGACTTTGAATCTACTAAACAGCTTAGGCCTCTAGAGGCTAGCTTTACCCTCTGAAGCTTTTAAACCTCTATAGCAAAATCCGCCTTGTGTTAATGGACGAAGGTGAGCGTGGTTGCTTATTAACTTCCTGTAACGTATGGTTATGTACATTCTGAAAACCTGAAGTTTCCACTTGTTTTTCTTGAAATTTTTAATGAAAGATTTCCATGTAGCTCAAATAACAAGTGAAGTTTTTTATAAATGCTGTCGTAACCATATCTGTTATTCTGCTAAGTGGCCTTAAGTTGCGTCCAAAATGTATGAAAAAATTACAATAACTGCAGACGTCGAATCCGGATCAACAAGATTTGCTGGTTGTTGTGCCCAAAATGTTCTGGCCAGCAAAAAAATTTGAAGATTTTTTATGCGCAATAAAAATTCATTTGATGTTGACAGTAAAAGAACGACTATATATGCTTTGGAAACTAGTCGTCAATATAAAACCAGATATGATCTCAGGGACTTTCAAAGAATCTGAAAAGTTTAAGCGTTTAATGAAATATTTACCCAATTTATGCCCTAACGTTCCACTATGACTTCACGTAACCGACTAGGTAATCAGCAGCACGTTTTAACCTGCCTGTTTGCTCCATCGAGTGCCTATTATGAACTCATAGATAGGCGCGGCTCTATTATCTTTATATGGTTTTTTTATGCTTTACTCGGTAAATGTATAGAAGTGCTAGTGCACTTAAACCTTCTTGACCCATTGTGCTTCTCATATGTTTTTAGAAGACGTAATACAGAGAAAGATCTCTCTGCTTTGCAAGTAGAAACTGGCAAGGTGGCAAATTTCTGAAGAAGCTCAAATATATTTGGATGAAAACTTAGGATGAAACACGCGTTAAAATTGGTATTTCAACTTGGAGTATCACTCATAAATGGACGCGCTCGAGCGCCCCCTAAGCAGCGCTCCACCTATTGCATCACAGCTGTCCGACATGAGCTTTTCACCTTTGGTCGTTTTGAGACGTCAAAAGGCATACCACCCGAGGTTTTTTTTCAGGGAGAGATCAAATTGGCAAATATTTCAAGGAAGAAATTTTTTCTTGCGGTAAATGTCGTACATGGAAAGGATATGGTTAAGCTACAGAAATGCGTGTGTGAAAGCTACATGTAAAAGTCTAGCTTGAATTATCAAAGGCGCCTCGGTCTGATTGATTACTAGTAACATACTGAAGCGGGCCATATTTATTAATTTACCTTTTCCATAATAAATAAAGATGGCCGTGGTTGGAAACTTTTAGGTACTTAATGGAGCAGTCGAGTTCTCTTAATTTGTATTTCATGCGTGGGGGTTATATTTTCAATGTTCTAAAAATAATTTGTATAATTTGTGTTTCAAAGTTCGGGGGTATATTTTTAATGTTCTAAATATCGGCAATATCGGTGGCCATGATCCATTCAGTAAAATATTCGTTTTTAGAATATTTTGTTTGTTTATTTTTTTATGTGCTGAAAAAATGTTGAAAAATCTGGAAATACGTGAAAGCAATAGGTTTCGATGTCAAGCGCAGCAGTTTTTTTGTTTTAAATACGCTGGCCGAAAACATTAATGCTGTTCTATATTGTCAATAAAAAAACAATATAGAATATATAGAAAACATTAATTATAGAAACATTTCCTTCTACTCGATGGTTTTTATCGTGTAAAAAAGTTATTACAGTGGTACTACATAATCATCTGCTTTAAAACTTTTGGCTCAGAGACGTCTGAAAACAGACATATTGTCTAATCGCAATCCACCAGACTGGTCTCGTAGATGAATGATTATTTATAAAATTATGTTAGATGAATTTAAACTTTTATGGAAATAAATCATTATATTAAGGATCAACCGTACAAGTTTCCGCCAAATCGATTTAGAGGGGAGAAAATATGGATTTTTCGCAGGGGGCGGATCTAGGATTTTCTCGAGGGGGGGGGGGGGCGGATTTTCAAAAAATTTTGACGACCTTTTTCTAAGGTCGATCAGATTGATTTTCCGAGCTCTCCCAAAGCAGTAAAACGATCCTGTCCTGTTTTGGCCAAATTTTCTGCGCCGCAGGCAATTTTTTGAAAAAACAGGTCAAAAAAGCCGTTTTTGTGCACTTTTTGAAAAATTTTGACAAAAAAATCGCGTTTTTTTTGGCGTGCGCTCCCCCTCAAAATAAGTATATATTGGCGCCAAAGGCACCTTTAAAAAAATTTTAGGGTCGGTCGGCCAAAAATGGATGTCTTAGTCTTAAAAATTACCAAAGGGGGGACCCTTTGGGTTGGCAGGGGGTCGAATCCCTGAGGAAGGCAAGGCGTCCGCCCACCCCCCCCCCCCCCCCCCCCTAAATCCGCCCCTGATTTTTCATGAACTAATTGTGAGAATAGCCTAGATTTTTTCAAAATTAACCGCTCTACTGAACAAAGTTGAATTAAAACATTAAGCTAAGAATTAACTGTATACAAATACAATCCCGCATACAAAAATGTAAGAACCAAACTTATTTGCTCGATAGCATGAAATGCATATTTTATACAGATTCAATTTTCAGTTTTAATACCTGCTTGGGGAGAGCATTCTACGGTAGGTCACTTAGAGGGGGGGATTGTACGGTTGAACCTGTATTAATATTGCACAATTGAGCGCTTGGCAAGCAGGACGACAAATTATAAACACGACAAATGAGCATTTGTATTGATCGAGTTCAGTTGTTCGCAGAAACAATTCGACCCCCTCATCGACCAAAGGGTCCCACTTTGGTATTTTTTCATGGCATTCATTTTCGGCCGACCAATTCTAAAGTTGCCTTCAGCACCAATATATACTAATTTTGAAGGCAGCACGCGTCAAAAAACGCGATTTTTTTTAGTCAAAAATTTTCAACAAGTGCCCAAAAACGGCATTATTGACATGTTTTTTCAAAAATTTGCCTGCGGCGCAACTTTTTTTTGTCAAACTACAGTGTTGTAGTAACGCTCGGAAAATCAATTCGATCGACCTAAAAAGGTTGATAAAATGTTTTGAAATTCCGCCCTCCTCGAGTTAATCCTGGATCCGACCCTGCCGGACACAATTTATATTATATTTCTATGGTGTACGGCCAGTAAGCAGACAACCTTTTAATCAGACTGGCCTAGTATTTATTTTACTAAAGCGTTGTTTCAGATCTACCATCATTTGAAGAACTACACAGTTCCGAATGAGCAGAGGTGGATAGTAAGGATTCTGTGCATCGTGCCAATCTACACACTCTCTTCGTGGATCTCGATTCTCTGCTTCAATCGCAGCAATGTCTTCATCTACTTCAATGCAATCCGAGACTGCTACGAGGGTAAAAATCTAGAAAATCCCGCCCCCCTCCTTACCACCGTTTTCCTGATTTCGAACAATTTATGCATTTGGATTTGTGAGCTTAGATTGATCATATGAAAATTTTTACTGAGTTTAAATTCTCCTAGGAATTCTTCGTGTTTTGAAGTTAATTGCTTTTTAATAAGTAAGTATAATAAGTTTGCCTTTTCCAAATGGGAAGACTGAGTTCGGGTTACGTTAATATTCTCTGCCCTATGAGGATGTTAACTTGGTCCTTTAGTTCTATTTTAGACAGCTGAAAATTTCGTAGATAGAATCTCAAGTTTCGAATAATTGAAAATTTACGTTTCTTGATTTCGAGCAGTTTTGAACTTTCGGATGACCTTTTTGAATTGAGAGCTCTTTTCCTGCCACCCCCCCCCCCCCCCCCCCCTTTGATTTTTTCTGAAATTCAACATGTGAAAGTCTTAAAATTGTTTTTCCTGTTATAAACTGCATCAAAACGTGTCAGCGTGAACAAGTGAACAAATTTTGACAACATTTTTTACATGCAAAATGCCGTGTGAACGATTTTTGAGCAGCCTAATTTTGTAATTTTACCAGGGGGGTGGGAAACTGGAAAAGAGCCGAATTGAGTAGTTTGTGTGTCAAGTTGAATTCTGCGGGGAAAATGTGGAGTTTTATGAATCGGTCTTAAGTTCATTTGACAGTCCTTATTGTCTAACTCTTAAATTGGAATCAAAGTGTTAGACACATCGCTTTAAGTTAACTTATCTGGATCAGTTTGAGAATAATCTTTCTGATAACCAAAGAGATCAGCCGAGGCTGTATGTTTCGTCAAAAGTTCGGGGCTTTTTTTCTCCCCCACCTCACATGAGCATCAATTCTATGGCACAACGAGTGGTTTTAAAAGGTCAAGAATAAAAACCAAACGTGTTTTTCATGGCCTTTTTAGTCCGTGTGTCAATTTTTAAAATAATTGGAACTGAACAAAACTTTTACTTCAAAAATTTTGCATTTGGAGGGAAAAGGAAAAAGAGGCAATTTTGGCATTATCAGTAAATAATAAGGTTTTAATTCCATAAAAGGCTATTGCGTAGCTCTTGTAACTATTTGTTGTTTTAGCTCGATTTAAATCTATAACTGTTTTAGTTTGCGTTGTTTTGTCATCCTGTGGAAGGGTTGAGTGTTTTTAATGATGACCATATTTTGTATTTTGCAGCTTTCGTCATCTACAGTTTCCTGAGTCTATGCTACGAGTACTTGGGAGGGGAGTCAGCCATCATGGCCGAGATCAGAGGAAAGCCAATAGCGTGAGTCACTCTCAAATCACTCTTTGTTTTCTCACCCCAATGGATCGATTAGAAACTGTTCTATTTAGTCCTCAAGCGTTTGTCTAGATATCTCACTGGAAAAATTTATATGATTCAAGCTCGAATTAAATTTAAAGCAATTAGCAATTAATAGTTTTTTCATCGTTCTCATTGTGATATTTGATAAACTCTATGAGAATAGTATTGTGTAAAAAATGATAGGTGGTGTAAAAAAACTAGGAGGAGCTATTAGAGCATTTAATACATTGAGCTAAAATTGAAGAATCATTTTTAGTACTGCGTTAAATCCAGAATACCCGGTTGAGATGAAGAAGTCATTATTCAGACGAAAATGGGTCATTGCTTAAATTTGTTCAGACTGTTTGGTCCTCTCCAAATAATTTATTCAGTTTGCGGGGAGGGAAATTGCTCCTCAAAATTGCTAACAGGCTTTTTGGCATACAAATAAAGCACCGCAAGTAACATTTTGGACTCGAAGCGAACTAGTCAAGTTGTCTATTAACGGCTTGATACATGCTACGCGTTACGTCAATATTTGTTTTTTAAATGAATCAATTAATTAGAAAAAGGCAAATTTGTAAGAAGACAAATTCTTCTATTGAAGTTTTTGAAGCAATCTTGTTTTTCCTCCTAATGAATTAAATGATATTGACAGCCAAAGTGACTTTCTTTGCCCTCATTGAAATTGAAAGAAAGCTGCTTCCCATGCCTCGGTTCCATTCAAATGTCCCTTTCACATTTCCCCTTCAATTAAGTAATATGGTTATGTGATTATTCTGTTTTTTTTTTGGCATTAACGGATGAAGCATGGTTTTAATTGCATCCTTTTTGGGACCCCTTTGCATCCGCTGTTGAAAGCATTATTGTCGCTAAATTAATGAAGGATCTTTTTTGGTTGGGAAACGCTAAAAACATGTTTCTAAACAAATGCTTCACAGCATCATAGCAGCAAGTAATCTAAGACCCGGTTATAACTTCTTAATTGGTTTGAGATAGGTTAACGGAATCCGTTTCTAATCCATAGAGGAGGATAATGTGGACTGCTACATTGTTTATCGTAAAGATTTGGTAGCAAATTTGAAGAAAAAAAAGATTTCATCTGGACAGATTAAATATTAGCGTGGGGGGGGGGGGGGGGACTAGCTATTTCCCTCTTTTTTTATTAGTGAGTCGCGATTCGCTTTCCCCCAATCATTACGATGCATGACGCATGTATAAAATGCATTGATTGAATGTTCATTCTTCCTTTGTTTTGTGTTCTGCAGTGTTAAAACATGGTACCCCTGCTTGCGAAGCAATTAGTAAGTAAGAATCACACTTACCTTGATTTCTGCTATCCAGCCAATCAAAACACCTGTTTAGTATTCTAATTGAATTGGTGGTTTGTTTCTTTTCTAATACATTTGGGTTGAGGTCAAATCAAATACTGGTGCTTTGTAGGTGCTGTTTCTAATATTTCACAGAATATGGTTTCAGAGAAAAGTTTTTAAATGGTACTTTTTCAATGTCAACAAAGATATCCGGTTGCTGTGCAAGGAGTTTCTAATTGACAGTGATACGCTAAATGACTTTCAAAACTAGTTTTCTGTTTTAGTAAATCAAGTTTTCTTAGCCTAAAAGACTAAATTATATTTAAGTTTTCATATAGCGAACGTTAATCGATCGCTTGCTCGTTCGAATCGAACTAAATCTTTGTAAAAATTTTTAATGTTCGAAGCTCGACTGAAGGAGCTTTAATTTGATATATCACTCGAACCATTCAAATGATTATTTGTGGTATCTGATTTTGAGTGGATCTAGAAAATTAAAAAAAACTCAATACAAATTTCGTCCCCATTTTCAAGGGTCGGAACAGAAACAGGGTTTGTCTATTTTCAATCAAAAGATTTCGCCGAAGAAAATTTTGATAGAGTAGGTATGTTTTTACTGCTCTTGTTTCTTTCCTAATTAATATGGTGGTTGAGTCATATCATTAATGTACAATCACAGTAATCAATCAGAATGTTATTTCAAACATTTACTTTTCTCAATTAATACAAATGTTTAAACCTGATTAGGGTAAATTTATGCCTTCAGTATTTATGAACATCCTTATTTACTAACTACTAACTCAATTGATGTTTTGTTTTTGTTGTAAACTTTTAAAGAGAAATGAACGTAGTATAGACTCTGATATAGGTCTTGGTGATATTTTTGTTTGCTTTTTTCACTTATGTGCACTTTTGAGTTCAATTGAAATTTATCTGCCAAAAGTGACTTAAACATCACTCCAAATACGAACGTTGAAATGGCGCAAAAAGCGTGAACGAGTTCTAGTTTCGAAAGTGGAAGTTAATTTATAGATTTCCCAGCGCAATAAAAACTTGACCCTATTGATCCACTTTTTTTAAATTGGGTTAATTTTATCAAAAAAGCACCACGCATAAATTTTTCTTAAAATTTGAAGTAAGGGCATATATTTTTTGAAATTTGAAAATTTGAAGTTTTATCAAAAACAAGTCCGTTTTTTTCCTGTTTCCTTGCGTTCATTACTTTTTTCCAACTGTCAGTTGGCTGTGTTCTGATTTGATTTTATTTAATCAACTGTAGTGAGTACATATAACAGCGGTCATAAACATACTCACAGGGATCAAACTCGCGGACCATAAGGCTCCTCAAGGATTCGCCCTTTTAAGGAAGACTTTCACCAAAAATTGAGAAGAGTCAGGATTAATTTCGGTTTAATTCTTAATTGGTGTACTTTGCATGCTTGATAAAAATTATTGTAAGCGTAGATTATTTCCTTTCATGGCCTGAATGAAGTACTGCGTATCGTTTTTTAAATAGGAAACACGCTCTTTTAAAGTACATAAAAAAGTATTGAATCTAAATTTATCTTTTCAATTTATTTTTAATTTCCTTTCAGAAAATGTTGATAACCGTCATAATTGGTCTCTTTCGTCAATGCTTTCGGTGAAAATCAAATATTTATTGCAAATATTAACAATTCGAACTAGAACTTGGCTAAAGGATTTTTTTAAAATAAGATTCCATGCAGTTAGATATTTTTAGAAGTTCAAAGATGTTCACTTTGGAGGATTGTGGATTAAAAGTAAAAGCAAGACACTTTTATGTCAAAGCTAACTCAAGTCAATAAATACTGACTTTTCCCCTTCTAAAGATAATTAGAAAAGGGACGAAGGAAATGAACAGATTGTCTTTGGGAAAAGGGGAAACAAAATGTTTAAAGACCGAAATGTGTTCGTTACATAGATCGGTGCATAAGCAGATCTTTTAATTGAGTTTTTCAGTTTTAAATAGCTCATTGAATTGTTTAGCACCGAGCTTGAAAAGGTCGATAATCCAAAATTCAAGCTGCAGTTGCCCTGAATATGACTCCAAAAACGAGTTCTAATATTAATTTTATGTAATGATTACGGAAACATGACGTTAAATTATTAAAGCTAAATACTTGAAACTGATTTTATAAATGCCAATCTGCTTACCATTCTTCTAAATTTACAAGCCCATTGAAGTTTTCCAAACCTTGGTACCAACATGAACCCAATTTTTAATTTGCATTTTTATTGTACCCTACTGTAGTACCTAGATTTAAATTGTCAATCGTGGTATTGGCTTTTTGTTGCTAAGTTTTTGCGTAGGCGAAGGTTGAAGGAAAAGCGATTTGTGAATTAATAAATGTAGCGTTATTGCTTTTTCGGGTGACGCTGGTTTGGTTGGCATGTTTAGGGATGAAAAAAAAGTACAGATTGGAAAATTCTAATCAACTGAAGCGGAGACTATCTTCCCATTTTTCAATATCCTCTCTTGAAAATGAAGTAGTGCTGTTAATCGAAGGAAGGTTTGACCTAAAAATTATTCATCTGAATCCACAAAAGTTGAAGAAACGTATATTCAAATAGAAAAAAAAACCATTTCCTAATTTTTGTTAAATGATGAAAGTGAAACAAGAATTTAGCGCTTGTTTCTTGTGTTTACTTTGCTCAAATTTTTGTCGGTCTGTTTTTAAGGGATTTATGTAGAGTTTTTGAAGTATACATTAGCTCTTTTTGCTGCCTGAAACATTTGCATTTATGTTATTGTGCAATTGGTATCTGTGACGTACACACTGAAAGCGTGCAGGTATGTTAAACAAATGGGGAAAGGTAATTACGTGCTTGTTTATTGAGGAAAATTGCATGAAGGTAATGGGAGAAATATGAAGCTAGTTGAAAATTTTGGTGGGTGTTGACGAGCTACTTAGTTTATTATATTTATATATTTTTTCCCAAATGCTACAGGCATTATTTTTATCTATCTTCTACTAAAGGGTTTCTGCGACCTTTAAGTGAGGGAAATTCTACAATTTTGATAAATCATGCTTGAAATTTATCTTGGCAGTACATGTCTCGTTTGCGTGTATGACGACAAATTATTTCGGCGTGATTTGAAAACGTAAAAAAGTTCGATTTGAAAAAGGTTGTATTTATCAAAAGATTGATTCAAAACTTTAAATCTTGATAAGTTAAACTATACTAAGATAGCGACGGTATTTCGCAGTTAAAAATAATGTGAATTCTTGACGTGTTTTTTAAAGATCATAGTTTTAGAATTATCTTTGTCCGTTTGATAATTTCTGTTCTACGATCTATTTTATTTGTAGTTTTGGTGTATTGTTTCAGTGCAACCTGCAGGAACTGCACCTGCTGGCTCAATGGACTGCAATACACCATCAGTTTCCTCAGATTCTGCAAACAGGTCCTAATTTTCATTCAGTTTTTGGAAACAGTTTAACATCAGGAAGTTATGGTTAGCATGGGAGTTGGAGTATCTCGAAAAATCGAAATGATGTTATTAAAAAAGGCTCTTTAAACTTTTTGGAAAAACAGATCCAGCGGTATTGCTGGCGAGTTCGACCGATTCTCTTTGAGCAAAACATTTTAATTAGTACAAATGATGCCTCAAAAACTTAGAATTAATGAATTTTTTTATCTCTTTGGTTTGCAATCGATAGCCACGAGGCAGAAGTTCCAACTTCTTGATTTCAACGAGCAAATGAACAAAATATTTCTGCATGTTTTTGTCGTTTTCGCTGCAATTATTTAAATGATAATGTTGAAATGTTGATAGAATAATTTGAATTGAGCTAGCCCGATCCAAAATTGAGAAATGTTTTGAAGGCGTAAAATATCGAGCATATCACTACTAGTTTCAGTTGTATTCTCGCTGTCAAACATCTTCGCAAACAACAAAAATAATTTCAATTTTTTAACTCAAATTGGATTTTAGGAAGCTGATGAGCTGTACTTACGATTTGAGCCCCGGAAATACCGACAGACAAACATTTGAAAGAGTTAATTAGTCCGGTCTTATACAAAGTTAAAATGTCTTGGCCGTTCATACCAGAAGTTTTGACAAATTTGAAAAACAACATAACTGCTGATCAAAATCCTGTGCACAAACCGGAATAGTCCTATTCCCCAAATATTAGCTGGAACAGTTCACAGTTCTTTTGTTGGCTTATTAAGAGTAATGATTGTAGTGAAGACTCTTTTATAGGCCTTGGTGTGTTTTTTTTTCTTTCATCGACAACATGCTGGGCCTGGTACCTTTTTTCGCTGATTGTTTGGTACTTTTCACATCTAGTTTTTATAAGGTAGATGTATCTTAAGACTTGCGTACCTTGATATTATTGGTCCGATCAATAAACATGCTCGATTTGCATGTTCAGATTTTTCGATTTGCTCGCTCAAATTTTCATCACAAGCGCAGCGTAGTGTGATGGTACGATGCAACTTTTTTGTCAACTGAATTTGCAAATAAAAGTGCTACTTTTGATTATCGTTTTTTGCTGTTTCGTTTTTGATTAAGAGTAATGAACGTAGTGAAGACTCTTATATAGGTCTTCCTGATTTTTTTTTCAGGAAAAGTCTTAAAATATTGATGTACTTAGGTATAATGCACTTTTTGAGTTCAAATGAAATTCATCTGCTGAAAGTGACGTAAATAGCGCTCTCCAAATACGAACGTGCAAATGGCGCGAAAATTTGTGAACTATTTCTAGTTTTGAAAGCGGAATTTAATTTTTAGATTTCCAGCGGAATAAAAACTTTACCTGTTGATCCAGTTTTCTCAAGTTGAGTTAATGTTATCAAAAAAGCGCCAAAAATAAACTGTTCTAGAAATTCCAAGAGCTTAAAGGGCATCTATTTTTTTCTTTGAAATTCGAAAGTTGAGATTTTTTCAACAAAGTTAGTGTTGTTTTTTTTTTCTGTTTCTTTGCGTGCATTACTCTTTTCCAATTGTCAGTTGGCTATGTTTTTGATTATCAGCTCAAAATTATTAAGATTTTTGCCGTTTATTCCCAAAGAACCGTTTTGAAATTGTATATTGAAACTTTTTGGTGTTTGCGATGATGTTTCGACAGCAGGAACACCTCTCTGTGTCCAAATTCCAACCCTATATTTTAATTATTCAATGCGAAAAAAAATATTCATTTGCTCGTTGAAATAAAAAAAATTGCAACTTATCTGTCCCGTGACTAATTCCAAGTAAGTCTATTAATAATATTCAAAACTTTTTACTATGACCGTGAACAAAGAGTTTTACCGTGAACAAGACATTATTTCTTCTTTGCGTGTGTGTTGCAGGCCACCCTGCAGTTCTGTGTTGTGAAGCCAGTGATGGCAGTGGTCACTCTCATTCTGCAGTTCTTCGGACTCTACCAGGACGGAAACTGGAGGTAAATAGAAACACAACACTCTTCAGCTTCATTTATCCATTTACTGCTATAATTTTGTTCATTTTTACATGAGGGAAATGCTCTTGATGTAAACTAAAAAATACCTGATGGGTTTTTTTTGGTTTGCTCCTGTCTTTTTTCTGGGCTATTTATGTGAGCACTGTGATCGGTTTTCAATTTATTTGGAAGCTTGTATATATTTTTTTTGGCTTTATTTTGTCATCAATTAGTAATCCTAGAAATTATACCGAAGAACAAAATTAAGAAGCGCCATTATCATCTATATATGGAAGATTATAGCCAGAATAATAACAAGGATCGCAGATTACTGTGCAAGTAGCGCTAAATGTTCCGATCATAGTCCTTAGAAAAACAACAAATTTTTTTTTTCACATTGTGTAATTTTTTCTGCGTGGTGTGATAACAGGGTCTGACGGAAAAGTATAACCTAACGAATTTAGGCAAATTAGACGAAAATGTTAGTAGAAAAATGACTAGAAAAGAAAAAATAAATAAAATCATTTTTGCAGAATCAAAATCATTCATGTTCCCAAAATGGCGCTAAAAACTCCAAAAACTAATTTTACTTGCTTAAAACTAATTTTTCAGGGCTTAAAGTAAGCATAAATAAGCTGTTGTACACCTGCTCGGTAGCTCGCTCTAACTTTGCGCGGAAAAAAAGAGGGAAAACAAAACTAAAACAACCGAATACAAAGTTCCTCCACGTTTTTCAAATGGTCGGAACAAAAAAGCGAAGCTAAAAAGGAAAAAGATCTTTTCACTTTCATATGTAGATAACTGTAGCGTGTTTCGCTCTCATTGTTGTGTTTGTGTTTGAGCACGAAGAGTGGCTACCTGTACGTGACGATAGTGTACAACATCTCAGTGTCAGTGGCACTGTATGGCCTCTTCCTCTTCTACCAGGCCACAGCTGACATGCTCACCCCCTACAGACCAGTGCTGAAGTTCCTCTCAGTCAAGTCTGTCATCTTTCTCTCCTTCTGGCAAGGTCAGATCTCATTACGCTTGCGATTAACAAGAGGTATCAAACCGAAATGTAGACTATTTTCTGTTGAACTAACTGGTTTAGCAAAATCACATGATACCTTGATTTACAATGAATGCCAGTTTTTGGCTTTTCCGGCAGACTTCGCCAAGAGTAAATGACTACGCCTAGGACGGCAAATGTCCTAGGTCCGAATCCGGCCTGGGCCTTAATTTTTAAACTGAAAATATTCTGTTTCAAAAAAATTTGTCGACCTATGATTTTTTTTGATGGTTTTGTTGGCTTAGATGCCACATCACGAAGGCTTCTGGTACTTTTAGCAGTTTTATTTGTAGTTGCAAGTGTTTTTGATATACTCCTGTAATTTCTTCAGTTTGAAAATTTACTAACCCTGACGTGTGTATTTTCCTTTTTTTTCCGTGGGAAAGTTTTATTTGGCCTAAATGGTTTTGGCTTAAGGTTATTGGCTTATCTTGCTTCGGTTAACCCCGACCGGAAGCTCCCGCCCCAACCCCGCTGGAAGCACGCAAAAGGGGAACAATTCTGGGATTTCAGAAATACATAATTCAAAGTTTTTCATGGAAAAAGTTTTTGTTTTCGGCGCAACGGGAGTGTACGCTAGATTTGTTGGCTTCATTTTCATTCGACTGATTCTGAATACTTGTTTCACGCCGTAATTTGTTTAGCTATTTAATTTTTCCTCAAATTAAACATCACTCGTGACAAAGTTTTGCAATTTTTATTGATTTTCCTACTTTTTTTCGATTTAGTGGCTTTCGTTTTGTTTTTGTCTTGCAATGCTGTTTTTTAGTGTTTAACAAGTGGTGCGAAGCTCCACTTGGTCTCTATTTCTAATTATTATTATAACACTTGCGATAGCAAGTGTATTGCAACCGGGTACTGGACTTTCTTCCCGTAAATAACTTTATTCACAGGTCTCACTGGACTCATATCCTGGAAGCCTCTGTCAGCAGCAAATTTACTGCAATAGACATATTTTGTGCATGTTAGCCTTTTAAATTTCGGTCCTATTCAAATTTTGCTTTTTTTGGTTGTGATTTTTTCCCTGGTCGGTTTGTTAAAATTTCATGTTTTCTTTTTTTTCTTTTGGGTTAATAGGTTTTGGTTTATATTATATTAGCTTAGTGGCCTCATTTTGCGTTGTTTGACGAGCGAAAGAAGTTATTGTGTGCATGTAAGTTTGTTTTGAGGCAGCTGAAGGAGACTAAATAATTTTTTCGCTCAAGAATTTTTTTAAATCTTTTTTTTTAAATTTAATTTACCATCTACATTACAACAGTAATGAATACTATTATAAGGCATGGAGGGTGACCCAAAGAGAATTTCATCTCATCGAGTGGGACACCTCGAGAACTTAAAGAGCAGAGACATAAATTCTCCAGAGTGGGCATCAATTAAAGAGCAGTTTGTGTAAGAATTCATTATCAAAAATATAATTATGGAAAAAAGATTCCTGAAAACGGTTCAGTTCTGATTTATTTAATTCGAAAAAATCTTTTGGAAGTAAATTATTCTGAAAAACAAAATTATATGCTATTGCTAGCCTACGTTTAAGAGAGAATTTCATGGCGTTTGATTTTGATTTAAAAGCTATATTTGTAATTTGTTTTTTAGTCTTGCTGCGGGTGTGAGGAAGCCTTTCTAGGCTCGATAAACTCAAAAAACTATTCTTATCGGGGCATCTTAAAATTTCAAATAATTCTTTGAAGAGAGACTTCGGAAACATATTAAAGACTGAATAAATTTTGTTTTCACTCATATATTGGGTTATTGGTTCAAATTTGCGTTTGAAGAATATAGCCCGCGTGATGCGTTTTTGTAGTTTTAAAATTGAATCGAGATGAGTTTTATATGTATTGCCATAAATAAGAATACCATATTGAATTACGGATTGAGCATATGCTCTGTAGAACAACAGAAGACTTGCTTTCGGAAAAACTTCACGACATTTGTAAACTATTCCACAGAAAGTTGATAACTTTTTAACAATGCCACATATATGTTGCTTAAAACTCAGTTTATTGTCAATTTTTAATCCCAAATATTTAACAGGCAATTGGTAGTTCGATTGAAAATTATCTCCAAATACATTGATCATTTCAACATTTTTACCGAAACTCATAAAAACGCTCTTTACAGTTGATTGTCAGGCCATTACAATCAATCCATTTTTCAATATTTTTCATTTAGTTTTCAAATTTATTTGTCCTTATTGTACTTGAATAACATAAAGTTGTATCATCTGCATATAAAACTGGTTTAATTGTATTACAAACAATCGGAAGATCATTAATAAAGATTAGAAACAACAGAGGTCCTAAAACAGAACCCTGCGGAACGCCACATGTTAAATGTTCTATTCGAGATTCTTTTTGGTCAAAAGCAACATATTGTTTGCGATCAGTTAAATAACTCCGGATAAGTTTGTTCAGTTTACCCCTTATTCCATACTTATCTAACTTAAGAATAAGTAGCTCATGGTTTATTGTATCAAAAGCTTTTTGGAAATCGATGAAAAATGTTTCACCGTAACGGCGTTTATCAATAACTTCTCGAATGAACTCGGTAAATTCTAAGAAAGCATCAGCGCAACTTTTTTTTAGGTTGAAATCCGTATTGCTCTGGTGTGAGAATTCGATATTTTCTTAGAAACTTATACATTTTGCCAAAAATGATCTTTTCAAAAACCTTGCTTATCGAATTGAGTAAACTTATTGGTCTATAGCTTTCTGGTAGTTGACAATTACCATCTTTATAAAACGGAAGCACCTTTGCAATTTTTAATGCATTCGGGTACGTTCCTTGCTTTATACATTGATTAAATAACTTTGACAAAGGTTCGCTAATAACCGTCGACGAGAGTTTCAAAATTTGATTACTTATACCATCCGGACCTGAAGACCCCTTATTTTTAATAAGAATAATTGTATCAAAAACTTCTTTTGTTGTTATTTCCTGAAAAACCATCGAATTTTTTACAGATTTAACATGCCTTAAGGCAATTTTATGATTGACTTTTTTACCACTTAATTTATTACCAATTTGTGCGAAAAACTGATTGAAGACATCAGCTTCAACTTCTATTTTGGCAGATGTTTTGCTTTGTATGAAATCGTTATATGCCTGAAAAATACTTTTATTGTTTTTCGATTTTTCGATTTTTTGTTGGTAAAATTTTAGTTTCGAATTTCTTATTAGCGATGTGGTTAAATTTCGGGACAATTTATATTTCTCTAAATTTGTCGGAGTTGGATCAATTATCCATTTTTTGTAGAACATGTTTCTCGTTTGCATTTGCTTTTTAATATCCTGGGTAATCCAAGTTGGTTTTGCTTTATTATTCACCTGAGATAATGGGCAAAATTTATCTAAAATACGTGTTAAGCTGTTTACAATGTAAGTTATCTGCTCATCAGCGTTTAGTGAACTTTGCATTTTTTTGAGTTTTTCATGTAGTAAGAAAAGGAAATCCACCAGGTTTTTGTCATTTTTCAATGGATTTATGTTTCGGAAAACGCTCTGTGTTTTAATGTCATTTTTACTTTTAAATTCATCAATTTCAAGTAAAATTGAGTAATGGTCACTGATTACAGTTTTTAAAGTGTTTATTTTGTTCAAACAAGACTTGGTAAAAATATAGTCAATACAAGAATGACTTGAAGATGTAACACGTGTGGGTTCAAAGTTGCGTTGGAGAAACCCATATGAGTTCATTAATGTCAAAAAATTCTCACTAGTGATTGAAGCATCAAGTGAATCTATGTTAAAATCACCACATATTATTGTTTGGTTTTTCCAAGTAGCCACCGTATCCAGGAAAGATTCTAGCTTTTCAAAAAAGTCGTTTAGTGCAGAAGATGGTTTTCTATACAAAACAATAAAATTTTTCGAACGTTTTTCATTTTTAACAGATATAGCTAGAAACTCAAGATCTGATTCCAATTGCAATTTTGACACCTTTAAATCCGATCTAACGAAAAATGCACAACCACCTCCGCGAGTACCTTTTCTGTTAGTAGTTATTATAGGTTGGTAGCCTTCAACTGAATAAATTGATAAGGGATCATTGTCCGTTAGCCATGTCTCGCAAAGGGCTATTATTGGTGGCTTAACCTCAAAGTCGTCAATAAGAATTTTTAACTCATCATAATGACATCGCAAAGATCTAATATTCAAGAAAAAAAGAAAACTGCTATTTAATACGCCCACTTGTCTCCCCTCTAGGAGTTCTCGATAATATAATTTACTCATTTATCAACAAAAATAAGAAACAGAAAAAATTAGGCGCTGACTTGCAAGCCACGCTCAAACATTCTTGTATGCTTCATCAATCCCAACCCCATAGAGCATGCAAGAATGTATGAATAACTATGAACCTTCCTCGTAGGGATTTACAACATATTCTGAAAGAGTTTTTCTGTTTTTGCATAATTGCTCCAATAATTGTTCTCCTTCTTGCTCTGGGGAGTCACGTAATCGCTTCAGAATAGATTTAATATTCTCCGCCCGTTGAGTATTATTTGCTCTGATTGGTGTCGTATTTCTTTCATAATCAGATACACTATAATTTTCCGTAGATTTTCCAGTTTTCGACTGAAATTTGTCAGATTTCTTAGTCGCTAAGTGTTTCATATCATCAATCGCCTTTTTCGAACTAACGGGAAAAGATTTGTAAACTCCTCTGTCGTCCATTTTAAACATTTTAACCTGACAATTCTGACTGGTATTTACAAGACCCAAATCATCAGCGTACTGTTTGAGTAGAAGGTCTGCCGGTGGAAGCCTTTCCTTGAGAAAAATTTGTTTGTTGTTATTCGGGTTTCGAATGTTAGCCAACCAAGATTTTCTGTTGTAGATTTCACTTTTTCCCCCAAAATATAAAAATTTAACTATCACAGCTGGGGGATAATTGATATTTTTCCACGTTCCAAGCAAGTGACAGGCTTTAAAATTACTCGGGCTAGTTTTATACTGAAGAAATTGGGCCAAAAAATCGCATACCTGATGTGACAACGGTACCTGATTGTTTACTATTGGCAGGTTCTCCAAAATTAGGCAATCCTTAGAAGAATACCTTTCCTGTGCAGATACTCTTTGCTCCAAATCATCCACTTTGTTCTCAAGATCTAGAATAATCTCATCTTTTTTGCCCAGATCCGTCAATAATTTATCGAAAATCTGTCTCACATTGGTGTCGGAAATCTTTTCCAGCATCGAGGAATACATATCTTTCTCAAAACGTGGTCCCATGTTAAAGGAACTCTCAGTTAAATACATAAGTTTGGAATTAGTAGTAAAGAAATTTCACACGTAAAGAAAGAATTGAGAAATTCGAAGCAAAACAATTTGTTTAAACGCGGCAAGAAAAAGCGACTATTCAGCGCTGCTCATTTCGTGGCTCAAAAGGTTCGTCGCTCGCTAGGCTCATTTCGTGGCTCGCTAGGAGAGTTACAGTAGAGTTGCAAAAATTTCTGCCTAAAGACACATTTTTTGTATGTTGAAGCTGAAGCATAGCTGTAGCAACTAGAAGCTGTAGCATAGTTATATCTTTCTTGATTTAGGAATGTTGCTGGCAATTTTGGAAGCTACCGGAGTCCTGAATGCAGTGCTGTTCGCCAATGGACAGGAGATGATATCCTCTGGCACTATAGCAGCCGGCTATCAGAATTTCCTCATCTGCATCGAGTTCTTCTTCGCTGCTCTGTTGCTGTTCATGGCTTTTCCGCACAGGATATACGAGGATCTCAATGCTGGGTGAGAATATTGGCATTTTAAAAATTGTTGTGCAATAGTTTTTTTTTGCTTATTTTGGTTTTTAATCGACCATATCCGTAAAACTGAATGCATATAAAGTCACAGGCAATGTGTGATACTACGATTTCAGTTTTGAGGAACAATTTGAAGAAAGCTTTTCAACATTTAGAGGAGAAAATAGTAGCAAGTTGATGTGCAAGGAAGAAGCACATTGTATTCCAACTACAGGCTGTTTTAAGAGTATGATACAGCTTAGGAAGATCAATTTATAACACATAATTTTAATTTGTTTATCTTGAGCACGTATCGTTTGGTTGATAATCTTGTAGATACGTTCAAAAAGCTTACCTGTTACCTCAAATTATAGTAAAGCTGAAGCAGCAGGAGTTACATTACGTGATGACGATGGGTGAGCATGGTTCATGTTGCACTGGCTGATTACATTTCAGTTCTCAATAAATTCATGCAAATATTTGTCTGAAAAAGTTTTGGAAATCTGAATAGAAAAAAATCAATGCATTGCATTTTTGTTTGGCTATTGCTATCGCTACTTTGTGGAAAGCTGAGCTGAAATCATTTGCTTTGCTTGAATGATTTTTCTCTGAGTTAAAATTAGTAGCAAAAAGTTCGGACAGACAGAATTAATTAAAATGAGCGATCAGTGCTTTTCGACGCTTTTTTGCATGCAAAATCTGAAGCCGGACAATCTTGAACTTTTTGTCAGACCAAATTCGAAATGCAATATCGTCGATTATCCGATGATTATGCTAGCCTAATTTTTAAACACTGCGATGAACATCCAGATTCACTATAAAATAGTTAGAAATTAGTTAGATAATTGAAATCTAGAATTATTTTCAACAAAAAAAAAACAGTTTAGTCCGCCCAAAAAAAAACAAACGGAAGTGAAGATGATCAAATCATTCAAAATTTGGAAACTAATCGCAGAAAAACATTAGCCACCCTGAGCAACAACTTTCCTGTTTCAAGGTTTACTATTCGAGGCTTCGGATGCAATTGCCTACCTTAGTTATAAGTTTCGAGCGAAACTCTGCTTATGAATTTTCGACGTTATGTTTAATTCAGTTTTAATTTCCGCTGATGTCTAGACAGCTGCTCTTTTTAATTAATTCTGTCTGTCCGAACTTTTTGCAACTCTCTATATTTTGTTTTATGAGAGGGAGCTGTATTTTTATTTTTGTTAAATTCCACCTGAAAGCGATTAACAAAAGTATTAATTTTAAATAAAAAAAAAACTTTTGTTAATCGATTTCACGTGAGATTTAACAACTGTTTTTTATTAGATCCTACCATTTTGAACCATTGGTCTTCTAAACTGCATTCATAATTTTTGTTTGAGCTGGGTTTTTATGTTCCTTAACTACACGATACTTTGTAACTGAATTGAAGTCATACATTTATAATTGTTCAAATGTTGATTAAGAGAAGTGAACGTAGTGAAGACTCTTATATAGGTCTTGCTGATTTTTTTTTCAGGAAAAAGTCTCAAAATATTGATGCACTTAGGTATAATGCACTTTTTGAGTTCAATTGAAATTCATCTGCTGAAAGTGACGTAAATAGCATTCTCCGAATACGAACGTGCAAATGGCGCGAAAATTTGTGAACTATTTCTAGTTTCGAAAGTGGAATTTAATTTTTAGATTTCCTGCGGAATAAAAACTCTACCTATTGATCCAGTTTTCTCTACTTGGGTTCATGTTATCAAAAAGCGCCAATCATAAATTGTTCTAGAAATTCAAAGAGCTTATAGGGCATCTATTTTTTTCTTTGAAATTCGAAAGTTGAGATTTTTTCAACAAAGTTAGTGGTTTTTTTTATATTTACTTGCGTTCATTACTCTTTTCCAATCTTCGATTGGCTATGTTTTCCATTTTGTTCACCCGACTGTTTTTTGTGTTCAGTTCCTACTCGGAGGTCGGGAGTGGAAGTGGCAATGGGAAGAGTACCCTGACTTCGATCGGGGCTAGATTCACACAGTCCATGAACCCAAAGGATGTGATTGAGGATGCATTGCACAACTTCTCACCCCAATACCAACAGTACACCAGACAAGGTAAATAGAGGAGGGTGATCTCTTTTACTATGCTTCAAGGTACATAGTAAAGAAGGATAGTTTGGTTGCATTGCAAGTAGAACAGAAAGTTCCTACCACAAATTAAAAAACGAGATGAGAGGATTTCAACGAAAGTCTATATTTAGGCATATTCAATAGTAATAGTGCGTTAGGCGTATTTCACCAAAGTTTTCCTCGAAAAAAGAGTTGCAAAACAAAAAAATTAATAATTCGCTAACTTCAGATTTTTTTAAATTTTAATAATTTTTTTTATTCCTAGCAAGGCCATGAAAGAAACTTCGAAAAATAATATTTCCTCGCTTGTCTATGCGATTTGCAACTCCGCTCATATGTAATGATGGTGATGATAACTGTCGTCTGCTTGATTTCTCTCAGGTGCGGATGCGGACGCTGAGTTCTTGAAGGACGTTGGCTCTAACAGGGGAAAAAGCGGCACTGGTGGGGGAGGAGGGGCGGAAGCTGATCAGCCAATCGGAGGGGGAGGAGGAAACCCCAAGAACGAAAAAATGGGACTGCTCACTGAATCGAGCTCAGGTAAACGCTCGCTTGCATGCTTTACAAAAGGATGATCCAGACTTAGACATTTTTGGCTCTGATTACAGTTAATTTGATTTAAAATCAACTGTTTTATTCAGGGTGAAATTATGTTCTCCTAAAAGTAATTAAAAACAAGCACAACTTGTTATGACTGGCTTAAAATGTGCAACAGAACAAAGTACAATCATTGTTAAGTTTTGGTTAAGAAATATTTCTGTCTTATTAATTATGAAGCTCCAGCTAATTTTGAGTTGGCTGCTTGTATGTTTCATTTTCGAAAAATTCTAAATTCGCTAAATTTATTTTTTTTTAATTTTAATATTAGAAAATGTATATTTAGTGTATCAATTTTTGGTATGTTACATGTTCCGAATTTGGTTCCAAACTAACTGAATAAAATGTTCTCCCCTGATTGATTACAGACGACGGTGACAGCATTGTAACCCCATACAGCTAACCTTGAAAAGGGTCTCAAATTTAACACATGAATGCATTGGTAAAACTTGTACTGCGGAATAAACAAAAATGATATGTGAAAACAAAATTGTTTCAATTGAGTGTCAGTGGACTTTTTGTCTTGTGGTTAAGGGCGTCTTTTTTGTGTGGATGGTGATATGTTGCGTACCTTTCGAAATTTTTTCTTACTTTTTAATTCTTGCCTTAGCATTATCCCGAAATTTTAGTACAGGACGGACTACAAATGATTATTTACGGAGAGTTAAGTAAATTTACATAAGGTGATATTAACTTTGATTCTTGGCGATATTTTATAAATGCGAGTAAATGTGTCGAAAAATAATCTGAAAATAATCTTAATAAAGGAACACGAGCGCCTAAAATAGTGTTTAACAATAATGAACTTAGTGAGAACTCTTATCTATTGCAAGTACAAATGAACGATACGCAATTAAAAAGTAGTTGATCGATTTTCAGAAACCGACGATAAATCATCAGTAAGCAGTATATCATCTCGAATCTCACCTTCAAATGACTTCAAATCAAGAACTGTTAAACGACTGAAAAAACTAACAAAATTTTCGCCTAAAAAGATCATAAAAAGATCAAAGACTAGTGTATCTAAAGCTGAGCCTAAACAGAGTAATTTTCGCCCAAATGAGAAATCGGCAAAAGATAAAGATCTAGCTGCTTTTTCGCTGTTGAGTCATGATTATGAAAGTGACGCATCTTCATCCAATGATATGATTGCGACCTTGGGCTGAAAAAAGAGCATCAACAATGAACAGAAATTTGATCAGCCTGTTGATTAAATCAGAATTGAAACTGAAAGTGATAACAGTGTCAAAATCATCAAATGATCTTCTCTGAGAGAATAACATGTAAATAAATGACTGTTTGGTTCTGAAAAAGTCTGTTTTGATTTTCTATCTCTTTATCTGTCGTCAATAATGGTAATTAGTTACACTTTTTTTAGTTTCAGCGACAAAAAAAACGATATCAAAATTTTGGTGAGGGGTTGAGCACGGGTGGATTTTGGTGGCGGAGGGGGGCGGACGCCCCCATCAAGGATTCGACCCCCTGCCGACGAAAAATGGTCCTGCTTTGTACTATTTTGAGATATCCATTTTTGACTGACAGACCCTACAATTTTTCCAAAAGCGCCTAGCGCCAATATATGCTATATTTTGTGGGAGCGCGCGCCGAAAAACGCGTTTTTTTGGTAAAGTGCCTAAAAACGCTATTTTTGGCCTGTTTTTTTTTCAAAAGTTTGCCTACGGCGCAGAAATTTTGGCCAAAACAGGGTCTTTTTAGTGCTTTGGGAGAGCTCGGAAAATCATTTTGGTTGACCTGAAAAAAAGACCCCCCCCACCCCCAGATGAAATTTCATAACTTCATAGTTGAGTGCAAAACATGTTTCGCTTGAAAACCAATAAAAAACATCTAAAAACAGCCAATAAGATTTGAGTAGTTCATAGTTACGAAAAGCTTTTAGATTTGTTTTTTTTTGGCGAATAGATTCAGTATTGTTAATCCAGAAGCCTCGATTGCCGAGAAAAAGAAGATGAAGCTGATCTGAATAATTTGATCAAACTGTTTTAGGATGAAATCTGATACAAATGCTGCAACAAAGGAAACAAGGTGAAAGCAAAACACGGAGTGGTGTCTTAAATCGATGAACCAAAGAGATTCCAATTTGAAAGCTGTCACAGAACGGTTATCTTGGAAAGAAGGGACAAAAATCGTGACAATACATTTTTTTCCAAAAGAAAAAGCATGTGAAAAAATGGAGGTTTGAACTGATTTGCATGCAAAGAAACTGCAATTATTTATTTGAATGTATTCAAATTACTGCAACTTTGATTAGCTTTGAATCGTTTCTGCTATTCCATTCACACTGCGACTGCATGATCTTTTTTGGCTAAATTTTTCGGTGAGATCAAAGCCAAACTTTCAAGCCCTAACCCTTAAGTTCAATAGTTATTTTTTTAATGAAAAATTTTCTTTGTTCAGAAATTGTCATTGAAAAATTAAATAACATTACAAATAAACTTGTGAAATCTCTTTGATATAACAATTTCTTGAAAGGAAAAATTAACCACTTGATTCACTGAAATTTTTTTGTCAAATCTGTTAGCTATGTTGTTCGTTAGTGTTTTATTTCGTTCTTTTTCATAACTTTAATCCGTGAAATTGTGAATAATAATCTGATTTTTGAAAAAAGATTATATATCGAAAAATGAGCATGTCAATTTAATCCCGCTTAGTTCCTAAGAACGTGCCATATTGTAATTCGTAAGATCTTCCTTGTATTGAAGTTCACAATAATCTATAATTTCAGATAACTTTGTCTTTCTAATAAAATTTAATTACAATTGAGAAAATAATATTACCCATAATTTTGAGTGTAATCATGATCCAAATTTAGATGTAGATTTATGAGTATTACTCTTGGTATGCAAAAAATATGCAGTACGTTTTAACTCAAACTGCCCCAAAGCTCTACCTAAAACCTCCCTATTAATTTCCTTAGTCCAAATTATTTATCTTCGACATGAAGTTATTTAAAAATTGAATTCTATTTTGGTGTCAAAAAAGTGAAAAATATGTATTAAAATAGAAATAATTAGTTTGCTCTTTCCAAAATATGTATAAATGGGTGCGATCTATGTATAATAATGATGCAAAGTAATTCGATGTCAATTAAATATTGTGGCATGGATTTCTTTTAAGAAGCAGCTAAATGAGACTACTTTTCTAAAACAGGAATAATCCCGGTTGAGATAGAGAATGACTGAGGAACCGTTTGCCATAGTTTTTCTCAAGCGAAACTAGCTGAATAAATATAATCAGTTCTGCTTTATAGTTTTTATTGTGAGATATAGATTTGATTGCCCAGCTATGCAAGTGTAATAAAACAAGATTGCTCGTATCAGGGCGAAGCCCTGAATGTTCCGACTGCCTTTTAAGGTTTATGGAGCAGTAGTAGCAAGTAAAAATAAATATAAAAAAAATAAAATGAAAAAAGAAAAAAAAATCTAAAATTTGAAGACTTTTCATGAAATAATCCTCTTACACGCCATATAAAGTACTAAAGAATACATTTCGCTTGTGGTAACAAATCAATTATGGCTAATAAGCTAGTTTCAACCAATTTGGAACAATTTCTAAGACGGATTAAATCTACGCTTACGCGTTAATAGCGCGAAATATATCGCGCGTTAATTGTCCCAAAATGGCATCTTTTAAACCCCCACAACTTTACGAAAATTATCACAGGTGAAATATCTTTTCAAATTTAGGCTCAAGACAACAATACCTTGTGAATGATAAAAAAAAATTCCGTCAAAAATGGCTAGTTAAAAAGTCGAAATTTGTCTGAAGAGAAAAAAACCCACCCGAGTACAAATATTCAGTTTTTTTTTGTATCGAAAGTCGGAACAATACGTTTACTTTCACTCAAAAAGTGGAAATTGTTCCGAGGTGCAAAGTCGATTTTGAGATATTCATTCGAGGGAAGGTTGACCTTAAGTGAACAGTTTTATTTTAACTGGCAAAGCCGTATGTATGTTTTGACAACTCTTTAACTCCTGAATTTCCAGAAAATCAAAGACTTCTATTAAGAGTAGATGAACGTAGATCAGATTCATAAATAGGTGGCGTTGATTTTTTTTGTTTTTTTTTCAGGAATAGTGTGAAACTTGCTCAGGCTCAATTTCAAAATTTTCGCGGTTTGAGGTATAATTTTTTTCTAAACTCAGTTCACTTTTTTTGTTAAAAGGAAAGCAAAATCAACTATCGAACAGCAAAAGTGTGAAGGCCTCGAAAAATAAGATTAACTTCTAGTGTTTTTTTGGCTCAATTGGTATCTGATCAAATATTGTGGGCCTGGTTTCCGCTTCGTAATTTTTGCTTTTGTTCAATTGCTAAATTGAAATTCAATTGGATTGCTTGGCTTGTTTTCCTAGATTTCATGTTTGACAAAAAAAACAGGTGTTTTGAATGTGTACGGGTTTATGTTGGTGTGGGAATATTTGACTGATTTTTTTGATTTTGGTTTTCTCAGAAGTAAAAATACCAAACCCGAGATTCTGAGGTTCTGGTTTCAATTAATAGGAAGGATTTGAAACATTTTTCTCTTAAAGCGGTTACGTCAAACTTTTTTAAAACATAAAATTATGGCCACGTGGAAATAGTCAAAATTTTGATGTCCTAAACTTTTTTGAGTTTTATTTAATTTAACAAAAACTAGCCTCCCAAAACTGACGTTGTTGGTTCAACAGAGACAAAAAGTGGAAAATTACCCTGCATTAGCGGCCACCCACAACTTTTTTTACAAAAACTGTTGACTTTACAAAAAATTAAAAAACCATATAAGGGGAATCTTCTCTACTTTACCGGGCACAACATTCTTTAAGCAGAAAAATCTAACGGATTTTGCAATTTCTCTTTTAGAAAAAAGTTAAAGCATTCAAACAAGTGTAAATTTTCGAAATTTGACCGTTTTTAGAAGCTTTTTGATTTTTCTTAAAAAATACTCTATCAATCTGAGATGAAATTTTCAATTGTTAGTGAAAGGTTATAACTTTGGAATCATTCTAATTTCTCAAAAATTTTCCCTTTTTTCTTAGCTTCACTCTTTTCAAAGTTGATTCTCTTATTTTAGTAGAGAAACAACTATGATTTGGACAAAGTCCAACTTTTGAATTTACGTATTTTGTCCCGCGTCAGTGTTTCAAATTCAAAAGCTATCAAACAAGTATCTCCAACTTAAGCTGGGCCCTATATGTCCTTCATCGAGACATACGAAAATGTTGATTCAACTATTTTCAATATTTTCATTTTTTTAAATGTTTTTCTGATGATTGTGTTGTATTGCAAATGATGCGACGCTCCGCTTCCCCTTTGTGTAAAAACATCAATTTTGAGCACTAACAAATCAAGTGACAAAATCCATTTGATATCGCACAGAAAAAAGTTTGACCTCTGCTTTGAGCTCTAAATGTTATTTTGCGTCATTTTCAAGTATTCGAACTATACGATAAAAAACTGATGTGGCGAAATGAAACTTGGAAACTTTGGCGTTATGATGCGATAAGTTGAAGTGATATCAAACAAAAAACGCTACTCATTCAGTTTTTATATGTAAAAGGTTCTAAATTGGTTAACTTATTAGCCATTGAAACTTCTTTGGCTTATTCAGGCCAAATTTGTTTGAAAAATAGTAAAACTAATTAATCAGGCTTCAATCTTAGGCTGTGTGTCTCATCTGTGTATTCTGTGACAGCTTAAAAGGAACATATTGTAATCAACAGTTTTTAGTAATTTATTAAAACACTTTTATACTATAAATTTAAATAAACTTTACATGTATTGGTTTTAGCTTCTCGGTAAAAGTTTTTCTCATCGCTTCATTTTTTGCATAAAAGTTGTTAAATGATGCCGATACGAAAACTTTCAGCTCGAATTGTGAATAATTTGAAATTTTTTATGTAACTAGCCATGTCATTCATCATGAGTTCACGCACTATAAATTTGATAAAAGCAAGTCTATCGCAGTCTATTTCACAATAATTGGATTACATTGAAAATTAAAACTCGACTGTTTATTAATTTAAAAAAACGTCAAGGAAAAGAATAGCAAATTTTCGATATAAAGATGAATTGTTTAATCATCAGTGCCATGAGAAGAATATAAAAGAAGCCACTAAATAGAGGGAAGTTTTGACTCCCAATGTTTCCCCTGCACTTCTTTCAAACTCTGCCAGCTTGCTGAGGTATTCCGTGATATCATCTTCAAGTTCATCGCACACTTTAATGCTGTCGTCTTGCAAGTAGTTCGTTGGTGTCAGTTTTTCTGCAACTTTTTCCGGAGCAGGTTGGACTGGTCGCCAATAACAAGTCTTCATGTCGTTCGTGTCAAGTTCGGTTTTCGCTGTACACTTTGAAGGAACGTTGTCTTCGAATCTATGCAAACCATATTGATGCATTAAGCAAATCTCGCATATATCTGGTATCAGTTCCCAACATTTTCCGTCAAGGAATTTCTGTTTATCCTCTAATGACATTTCATATGCTTCATTCTCCTTGAGAATTATTTTCCTAACAATTAGCGAGTTGGCCAGGGAACCGTATTCTATTCGCTCTGGTAAGCCAATTTCAACAGCTTCGACCTTTGAATAAGTTAGAATTTCTTTTTCAAAAAACGTTGCGCAAGATAACCAAATATCGGTGATTGGCTTTCCGTCGCGTCCAGAATAAAAGCGTGGACAAAAACTGAGTTCTTTGTTTTGCCAAAATAGCGCTGCTAAAACTTCGGAATTAAAAACTATGTCAATCCTTTCGCGAACATCCACATTTGACAGTGCAAAATATTTTGTATTCCGTGAATCAATGAAATTTGGTACTATCAGAGGAACAAATGGCTGCCCTATAGAAATGTCGATGAAATTGTCGACAAATGATGAAATGTCAAAAATACTGCCAGGGCTAGTGTTAAAACTGTCGAATATGCTAAGCTTCCCTTGATTGCCAGGCTTATTTGATAGGAGATTCTGAACTGATTTCGCGTCTATTTTCTGGCAATTTATAATTGAAAAAGATTCCCAATAAAACGGAATATGATCGCTCTCAGCCATTGGAATCATGTTTTCTACGCTAATCAAAGTATTTGATTCCTCTAAATCAAAATTCAATTTCTTGCATTCCTGAATTCCGTTTAATTGGAAGTTTTTGGAGAAAATTCGAAAGGTCACTTGATATAGACGCAACGTGCAGTGATCACCTAAAATGATAATAGTTCAAAAAGTCTTGACTCGCGCAGTTTGAAAAGTTCTGAATGAAATATTTCTATAAGCATTAAAAAATGCATGTTCTGGTTGAATTAAGGCATTTGAAATAATGATTTATTGGTGTAAGGAAAATAAATTTTTGTTCAAATATGATTCACTATAATAAAAAATGCACTAAGTTGACGTGGGAACAATAACCCATAGATT